ACCCTTCATTTCTGACTTATAGCAACCCCACCATGGTGTTTTCTGGGGCTGAGTGTGTGTGGCTCATCCAAGGTCACCCAGTTGGTTTTCAAGGCCTAGCAGGGAATTGAACCCTGGTCTCCAGAGTTGTACTCCAGCATCCAAACCACAGCACTGCACTGGCACTCATGTAGCCATTTCAAAAAGAAAGGGTTCCAGATCACTAAGCTTTTCATTGGAGGGGAACTGAACTAGTCTAAAAGCTTCTTGTGATTTCATCCAGATCGTTTCTCCGTTCCACTGGATTAAACTATATGGAGTTTTAAATCAACATGTAGGACAGCGTAACCTATCCACCCCCAAACACACTGGTTTTCCCCCAATAACCTCCACCCTAAGGTAGGTAAAAATACCATGGCATCCTTCTGGGCCACCTCACTGGGATGGGCATTGGAGACAACAGTTTACAGTGGCTCAGTTCCTTCCTGGAGGGGTGAACCCAGAAGGTGGTGTTGGAAGACTTCTGTTTGACCCCTTGGTCTGTGGGAGTTCCCTCAGGGCTCTGTTTTGTCCCCCATTATATTTAACACATACATGAAACTGGTGGGAGAGGTCATTTGGAGTTTTGGGAAGTGATGCCATCAATATGCAGATGGCACACAACTCTACTATTCCTTTCCACCTCAATCCAAGGAGGCTGTTTTATTAGTCCTAAACTAGTGTCTATCATCAATAATGAACTGGATGAGAGCAAACAATTTGAAACTTAATCCAGACAAAACAAAGCAAAAGCAAAGCAACTTCATTTATATACCGCTTCATACCACACTATGCAGTGTCTAAGCGGTTTACAACTGTAAGCTCATTGCCCCCCCAACAGCAGGGTACTCATTTTAGTGACCTCGGGAGGATGCGGGCCTGAGTCAAGCCTCAGCCCTGGCTAATACTGAACTCGCAACCTTGTGGTCTGTGAATGAGTGGCTGCAGTACAGGCATTTAACCACTGCCCCACTAGGGCCACTAAGACAAGACAGAGGTGCTCCTGTTCAGTTGAAAGAAAGATTAGGGAATAGAGATTCAACCTGTGTTAGAGATGGTTACACTCCCCCTGGAGGCACAGGTTTGCAGTTTGGGTGTATTCCTAGACTAATAAGCTTATCGCACTGTGTTCTTGGAACGTAATGAGTACATGATGTGAACAGAACGGA